ACTTGACTACTTTAGATGTGTTGAACGACAGTCTTTTTTTGTGTTACGCAATTTATGAATATGACCAGACCGACGCTAACATGAGGGAGGCGCCTGAAAATGTAATTTAACTTTAATGACACTTGATTACACACATACAGTACCAGTCAGAAGTTTGGACACGCCTACTCATTCAAGGGTTTTTCTTTATTTTTACTATTTTCTACATTGTAAAATAATTGTCAAAACATCAAAACTATTAAATAACACATATGGAATCATGTAGTAACCAAAAAAGTGTTAAACAAATCAAAATATTTTATATTTGAGATTCTTCAAAGTAGCCACCCTTTGCCTTGATGACAGCTTTGCAAAGTCTTGGCATTCTCTCAACCAGCTTCATGAGGAATGCGTTTCCAACATTCTTGGAGTTCCCACATATGCTGAGCACTTGTTGGCTGCTTTTCCTTCACTCTGCGGTCCAACTCATCCCAAACCATCTCAATTGGGTTGAGGTCGGGTGATTTGTGGAGGTCATCTGATGCAGCACTCATCTCTCTCCTTCTTGGTCAGATTGCCCTTACACAGCCTGGAGGTGTTTTTTAGGTCATTGTCCTATTGAAAAACAAATGATAGTCCCAATAAGCGCAAAGCAGATGGGGATGGCGTATCGCTGCAGAATGCTGTGGTAGCCATGCTGGTTAAGTGTGCCTTGAATTCTAAATAAATCACAGACAGTGTCACCAGCAAAGCACCATCACACCACCTCCATGCTTTATGGTGGGAACCACACATGCGGGGATCATCCATTCACCTACTCTGCGTCTCACAAAGACACAGCGGTTAGAACCAAAAATCTCAAATTTGGACTCATCAGACCAAAGGACAGATTTCCACCGGTCTAATGTCCATTGCTCGTGTTTCTTGGCACAAGTAAGTCTCTTCTTTTTATTGGTGCCGTTCACTAGTGGTTTCTTTGCAGCAATCGACCATGAAGGCTTGATTCACACAGTCTCCTCTGAACAGTTGATGTTGAGATGTGTATGTTACTTGAACTCTGAAGCATTTATTTGGGCTGCAATTTCTGAGGCTGGTAACTCCAATTAACTTATCCTCTGCAGCAGAGGTAACTCTGGGTCATCATTTCCTGTGGCGGTCCTCATGAGAGCCAGTTTCATCATAGCGCTTGATTGTTTTTGCGACTGCACTTCTTAATTTTCCGGACTGACCTTCATGTCTTAAAGTAATGATGGACTGTCATTTCTCTTTGCTGATTTGAGCTGTTCTTGCCATAATATGGACTTGGTCTTTTACCAAATAGGACTATCTTCTGTATACAACCCCTACCCTGTCACAACACAACTGATTGGCTCAAACGCATTAAGAAGGAAATACATTTCACAAATGAACAAGGCACAACCTGTTAATTGAAATGCATTCCAGGTGACTACCTCATGAAGCTAGTTGAGAGAATGCCAAGAGTGTGCAAAGCTGTCATTAAGGCAAAGGGTGGCTATTTTGAAGAATTTCAAATATAAAATATATTTTGATTTGTTTAACACTTTTTTTTTTGGTTACTACATGATTCCATATGTGTTATTTCCTCGTTTTGATGTCTTCACTATTATTCTACAATGTAGAAAGTAGTAAATATAAAGAAACCCTTTAATGAGTAGGTGTGTCCAAACCTCTGACTGGTACTGTATATGCTGAATGCCAGTCATGTTTGACAAATATAATGTAGGATCATTATTAAAATTAACGTCTAAATGGTTGATTCTGTCCACATACTTGAGGCACTTTTAGTTCAGATAAAGGCCAGTGCCTGTTGCGCACTGCAACATCACCCACTTATTTAACCGTAAATTTAATTGTTTAAAACCTCAACGGTTTTTGGCATTTTATGAGACATGTCTTGCTGTGTTCCGACCATAGGGATTTTAAGACCATAGGAATTTTAAGGGGATTCTTTTATAAACATTTTCTGAAATGCCATTAAACCAGTATTTCTTGTGTTCTCAACTTTCTTTCGTAGTCCAGCAGCGAAATACACAATCCTAGTCATATTAACAACCCATGCTCAGTTTCTACATTACTGAAGGATATTTTCATCTGTCATATGAAACAGCTCGCATTTGCGGTGCAGTTTTGAGAAGTGTTTTCCTGCTAATAATTGCATTTTGGAACATTCACGCTTGCAGCCTACTGCCGTGTGCGCATTGCTACGCTCATAATGTGAAGAAATAGTTTATCAAAATGTTAAGCTAAACTTTCTGATCTGTTGCATCAGCCTCATTTGCTTTTAAAAGTTTTGATATACAGTGGTTGTATGAATTTGCGTCCCACGACTGTCCCAGAGTAGGCTATGTTTGGAATATTTATTTGTAGCACAGAACGACAAGCTGACCAATAGAATAGGTCAACTTTTGTTCTGTGGAGGATAGTTGATTGGCATAGGCTAGTGCTTTTGCTGTTCGCTACTCATCTTGTTGGCTAACGAAAAGTAAATGTGGACGGTTCTTCTAACACATTCAATATTTGCGTTCGAATTCGATAAGAAGGACTTGCGCCGTTGTATCCCTGATGTGTCCGTCTTCACTTGTAGCTACCTGCTTCGGAGCTGCGATGCCTATGAGAAGGACCCGATCACGTGAAGGGCGTTGGCTAATAAGAATTGAGATATCTGAGAGAGCCATGTGAGTGAGAGGTGCTTCAGAGCAGGGCGATTGGCAGCCCGGAAAAGGGAATTATAATTATTATGTTCAGCCCAAGGGCACAACGGCCACTTTGGCCACAATGCATGGATTTGTTTAGGGGGCATTACGGCCACACAAGGTGGAATGCCGCTGGGAAATTCAAGGTCTTTTCCTTTGGCTTAACATCCATTCCACATGAGGTTGTCCTTTGCCTAGATCTATAGAATAGGCTTAACTGAAACCATCAACCTGTCTAGGCTGTTTTGAAAGCACCAAGGGTCTTCTGGGTATTGACATTAACACTTGATTGACACTTGCCCATTGGGCAAGTCGGCAGCATTTTTATACTTGCCCAAAGGTTAAGATGATTTGCCTGAAATGTTGCTGTTTTATACAAATCAAGTTTTATTGATCACATACACATATTTAGCAGATGTTATTGTGGGTGTAGCGAAATAAACACCATACGTTGGAATATCTTTCACGTCAACATAGGGTGCCTCAAAAATGTAGATTTTACTGGAGTTGTTGCAGTAAAACATTTTTTTTTCGCTGTAGCTTAAACAGTGAAATGGAATTACAAAAGGTTATGTGGGAATAGAGCTGGCAATGTAAGCTAGGGAAGTGTTTATCCTATTGCCCTCAAGGACATTTTGATTCATCTCACGATACCCATACCCATGATATATCCATTTATGTTATGTCACTGCAGTATTTCCACTCTTCTGAGACTATAGTGGGGTTCCTCTCGCGTTCACTCGTCCGTCTTATTTCTAACCTCAGACCAGTACAGTTCCCCATCAGCCCTCTCACCCTCTCACTGGTCCACATCTCCCCTCTGTTCTCAGATCAGTGCGGTGCGCTTGCCACGGGAGCCTAGTAACCCAGAGAGGCTGAAGGGCTTTGGTTACGCGGAGTTTGACGACGTGGACTCCCTCTTGAGGGCGCTGACTCTCAATGAGGAGGTAAGGAACGGCACACTGAGGAGAGAAAGGATCGAAGGGTCTTAATGCTGAACCACGTGTCTGTCTCTAATTAGGATTCATCACACATACATTGATCATATCAATCTCAACATCCATTCAGCGTTGGTAATAGTTTGGTAATAGATGGGTTAGCTGACAACGTCAAGAAAATGATGCGCACGCTTGAATGGGGCAGAAGTCTGAGTTGTGATTCTGGATGGCCACATAGCTACCAACAATGACAAACTGCCATGTGGGGAATCGTAAGTTCTTGATACCATGTTTTTGGCTGATTTCATGTCAATGCTAATATGGCAAACATTTGCTAGCTAGCTAACCAACAACTGTAATGATGTATTTGAGACAGAAGTGCTCATTGTGCAAATTTTGATTTGTTTTCAATAAGAGACTAAATATAGTTTACATGTCAACAATCTAAGCCAACTCGTCTGTTTTGCCCCATAGTTGCGCACGCGCCGGTTTTGTTGCTAAACAACCAACCTGTCTGTAGTTTACTTCAGTATCTACAAGGGACATAGTAAAAACAAAAAAACGATGTGCTGTAGATTTAGTAAAGTAGTAAGAGAGCTTTCAATTAATCATTAGTGAAATAAAATTTTTGATGAGTGCTCAAGACAAGTATATGGAATTTGAACTGTTAGTGACAGGTAAATAGTTTCAAGCTATCACGCTGGAACATGCCATTATGGAAAGGAGATGAGTTGGTCATTTAGACCACATTACTGGTAATGACTTGCATGTCTCTGAGCTTGTTTCCTGCCTGTCTGACCTAATAGAACCTGGGAAACCGCAGGATCCGGGTAGATATTGCAGATCAGTCCAACGACAAGGGTAAGTTACGCACAACATTTTACATTTTAGTCATTTAGCAGACACTCTTATCCAGAGGGACTTTCCCATGACCTTCCTAATTAATTAATGATGCACCGATTTAGTAATTTCAATACGAATTCTAGACTTTCTACTGTACTATGGGTACAGAATGGCAAAAGAGCCTCTATAAATCCATGTTTATCTTATGGGGTGGTTTCCTGGACACAGATTAAGCCTAGTCCTGGACTAAGCCTAGTCTTGGTGCTTTTCAGTCCAGGACTAGGCTTAATCTGTGTCTTGCAAACTGGCCCTATGTGTCAGGAGGTCAGTTGATGCACGTCCCACATTTCCCCACCAGTGCCCGGCCAAATAACACTGCTGAAGGCCATTGCAGCCCAAACGTTGTCTATTGTGGTGTAGGAATAAAGCACTTGGGGGGCAGCATTTATAGTGTGGGCTTTTTCTTTATTTATCTTATCATTTGATCCCTAACCTTGAATGGCCAGAGGGGAGAGACAATGGCCAGATGGGCGGACGAGACAGGATGGGCCGTATGGGAGACATGGGAGGCCCTGAAAAGACAGACAGTGATGACTGGAGGGCACGGCCCACTGCAGACGCCGACGATGGACCCCCAAAGAGAGAGGAATCCGCCTTCGGTAAGAGTGTTTCCCTCTAAGCTAAAAGAGCCACAGATCTATAGACTATATGTATGCACTCAGCAAGCACACATCCCTTCTTTTAAAGCACCCTGCTAAAACCTCTTTCTTAATGTCCTTTTGTCTCAAAGCTCTATGCTACACTATTTATCTGAAATGTCAAGCAGGCATGGGTATGTTTTATGCTGTCCACATAGTTCCAGTTATCTTGCAACTGTGTGACCAGAACCACATCCTTTGACATTTCTTCTTAATAATGCTTGGATCTCAAGAGACTTTTACTTGATTTGTATCCCTTTCATAATTCCATTAACTCTTTCGTGCCCTCTCAGGGTCACGCGACCGCTACGGAGACCGTGACGGGCCTCGAAGGGAAAACGACCGCGGCTTTGGTGGCGACCGGGACCGCGGCTTCGGTGGCGACCGGGACAGTGGCCGGGACCGCGGCAGAGACCGCTATGACGACCGGGGAGGTGAGAGCGGAGGTGAAACTACTGCTCAAAACTTAACGTATCGTCATCAATCTAGACTGCTGTATTTACTTTGTTATCCAAATCCCCAACGCCTCCTGTATGATTATGAATATTAAGTAGGGTTGGGCGATATTATGATAGTATCGGATATCGAAGATGATTGACAGCCATCGTCGATGGTGACAACATGATGCGACAGACGATGTATAGCCTATTTCAACTTGACTGGCACCACACAGTAAAGTGCAAATGTCCAGTCAGATGTATTTATTTTTCTCAACGTCGGATGACCTGGGCCATATGGCCTACCCCTTTTTTAATTTTTTATATCTGAGACTCCGGTATTTAATAATTTCAAAAGCCACATTTTTGTATTTTCTTTCCATTTGATGTGAATATGACGTCAGTGTTTATGCATGCTGGCTTTCTTCCTCTGCCTTCCACCATTCTAGTTAATGACAGGGTTCACACAAGGTGCTTAAAGTACTTGAATTTGGCACTCTGAAATTCAAGTACTGGAATACCTTAAATCAGACATTTTCTCAAGTTGGTACTTGAAAAGTACTTGAATTAAAATTAGGAGAACAGATAATGACTCAGGAAACAGCAGAGGGTGCACTCCCCCCTATCCACATTGACGGGACCGCAGTGGAGAAGGTGAAAAGTTTCAAGTTCCTTGGCGTACACCACTGGCAAACTGAAATGGTCCACCCACGCAGACAGTGTGGTGAAGAAAGCGCAACAGAGCCTCTTCAACCTCAGGAGGCTGAAGAAATTTGGCTTGGCACCTAAAATCCTCACAAACTTTTACAGATGCACAATTGAGAGCATCCTGTCGGGCTGTATCAGCACCTGGTATGGCAACTGCACCGCTAGCAACCGCAGGGCTCTCCAGAGGGTGGTGCGGTCTGCCGAAGGCATTACCGGGGGCAAACTACCCACCCTCCAGGACACCTACAGCACCCGATGTCACAGGAAGGCCAAAAAGATCATCAAGGACATCAACCACCCGAGCCACTGCCTGTTCACCCCGCTATCATCCAGAAGGCGAGGTCACTACAAAGCTGGGACCGAGAATTAAAAACAGCTTCTATCTCAAGGCCATCAGACTGTTAAATAGCCATCACGAGCACATTAGAGGCTGCTGCTGCCTATTGAAATCACTGGCCACTTTAAGAAATGGAACACTAGTCACTTTAATAATGTTTACATATCTTGCATTACTCATCTCGTGTGTATAAAATGTATTCTATAATATTCTACTGTATCTTAGTCCATGCCGCTCTGTCATTGCTTGTCCATATATGTATGTATTCTTAAATTCCATTCCTTACTTAGATTTGTGTGTATTGGGTATATGTTGTGAAAATGTTAGATATTACTTGTTAGATATTACTGCACTGTCGGAGCTAGAAGCACAAGAATTTCGCTACACCCGCAATAACATCTGCTAAACATGTCTATGTGACAAAAAACATTTGATTTGATTTAATGTTCAAATATTTTTATGAAAAATATTAGAAAAATGTATTGGTCTCAATTAATTTCCAGGCAGACTACAGAGTTTTATTTCCTCACGTGTTTTGCGCTGTGCTTGCCAGGCGAGCTCGCTCATTCCACCGACATTGCCACTCAGCCAGGCAGGTATAGAACTGACTTTGGAACCGCCAAATATCACATCCATAGCTAAGATGCCGGGCAAATGTAGATTCAATTTTGCCTTTTGTGCGTCTGGAACATTTCTGCTATCTTTTATTTCAGCTCATGAAACATGGGACTGACACTTTACATGTTGCGTTTTTATATTTTTGTTCGGTATAGTTTACCCACTACATCACTGGACCCAACCCACACCGTGTAAGGTGGAAAAATGTGTCAGCATGGGTGAATCTGCCCTGAAGAGCCACATGAAGGGGCTCATGTATGTAGTTAATAAGTAGTGAAACAACGTATTATTGAGTAGAACTTGTAAGGTAGTGATGAATACTAAGTTTGTTTTTTCATGAGGTTTTTTTGCGATATACTGCCATCTGGTGGCGACTAGAAACAATTGCATATATACTATATATACTATTACAAATTGATGGTCCTTGAAAATGAATATTAGTGTTTGAAAAAGTACTTGAAAGTCCTTGAATTTGACTTGCCACTGTCTGTATGAACCCTGTCATGATTAAGTAATTTATCTAAGAGTTCAAGAAGTTTTAACTTGTTTTTGAATAACCTAAAAACATGATAGGCCTAAGGAAATAATGAGGTAAAACAAACAATAGCAAGATAAAAAAAATCTAATGAGTAGTTTGAACACACCTTAAGCAAAGCTTAGTCTAAAGGAAATAATGCATGCATCCCTTCTTGCCGTTGCGAACCAAACTGCCAAAAGCAAAATTAAAATAGCCTATCAAAAGCATGAAGACAAGTTGAAGTTATGAAGTGTTTCCCAAATAGGCTATTCTAATAGCGTTTAATGTCCTAAAGTTGCAGCTTTCAAATGGTAACAGTTGAGACAGTCGGAGACTAGGCGATTCTCTCTCAGCTTTATTTTGAATGACCAAAATTCAATTAAACAAGAAGTGAAATTGAGCAAACAATATCAAAATGGGAAAAGCAAATGCGAAGTCTAAACATTCTCTGAGGATGATAATTCCTCAGTGCAGGAACAATATACTGAGGAAAGAGCCTCATTCTGGTCCGCACTCTTTTTTTGTGTGCTCTGCAGTGTTTTTTACAGGCCATCTAATAATTTGGTCAGGTAAAAATGTCAACTTGCATTTCACGATCTGAGATAATGGTAGGCAATGTTTTAGGCCTTAAATTAGAGCGACTACTTTTTCATGGTTTTAGTTAAATTTCTAAGCATTAACTGAACTAAGAGCCGTTTGGGAGCCAAATTAACGTATCTTTTTAGGTGATTGGAGCCAAATGAGGCCGCTCACAGAAAAGACTCGGAATGCCCATCACTAGCAGTTGATATAACTATCTTGTGGGTTGCCAAATACTTCCCCCAGAACTTCTCAATTAAATATTAACTGCAAAGTAGGCTTACCTGGCAGAAGTACAGTTGAAGTTGGAAGTTTACATACACTTAGGTCGGAGACATTAAAACTCATTTTTCAACCACTCCACAAATGTCTTGTTAACAAACTATAGATTTGGTAAGTCGGTTAGGACATCTACATTGTGCATGACGCAAGTAATTTTTCCAACAATTGTTTACGGACAGATTATTTCACTTATAATTCACTGTATCACATTTCCGGTGGGTCAGAAGTTTACATACACTAAGTTGACTGTGCCTTTAAACAGCTCGGAAAATTCCAGAAAATGATGTCATGGCTTTAGAAGCTTCTGATAGGCTAATTGACATAATTTGAGTCAATTGGAGGTCTACCTGTTGATGTATTTCAAGGCCAACTTCAAACTCAGTGCCTCTTTGCTTGACATCATGGGAAAATCAAGATCAGAAATAAATGTGTAGACCACCACAAGTCTGGTTCATCCTTGGGAGCAATTTCCAAATGCCTGAAGGTACCACGTTCATCTGTACAAACAATAGTACGCAAGTATAAACACCATGGGACCACACAGCCGTCATACCGCTCAGGAAGGAGACGCGTTCTGTCTCCTAGAGATGAATGTACATTGGTGCGAAAAGTGCAAATCAATCCCAGAACAACAGCAAAGGACCTTGTGAAGATGCTGGAGGAAACCGGTACAAAAGTATCTATATCCACAGTAAAACAAGTCCTATATCGACATAATCTGAAAGGCTGCTCAGCAAGGAAGAAGCCACTGCTCCAAATCCGCCATAAAAAAGCAAGACTACAGTTTGCAACTGCACATGGGGACAAAGATCATACTTTTTGGAGAAATGTCCTCTGGTCTGATGAAACAAAAATAGAACTGTTTGGCCATAATGACCATCGTTAGGAGGAAAAAGGGGGCTGCTTGCAAGTTGAAGAACACCATCCCAACCGTGAAGCACGGGGGTGGCAGCATCATGCTGTGGGAGTGCTTTGCTACAGGAGGGACTGGTGCACTTCCATAGCTCGCAACTGCAGTAAATCAGATGTCGTTGACCCTGCCACAATGTGCGATTCATGTGCTCCAGTTTTTGGACCTAAAGATAATGAAAAATAGTCCAACGCGTGAATTGTGCCAGTATCATTCTCCAAACTCGTACTGTGGGTGCTTGGCATTAGTCAAGTCTTTTTTTTCATCCTGACACCTTGCAGAGGGGCAAAGTTTAGATCCTGCAGTTGCATTGATCTGACTGCGGTTGCTCGTTCTAAAATCTAGCAGTTTCTTAAATACGGCAGCTCCATTTTTTTGTTCTGTGAACAGCTTTTAAAGCAGCCATCATGTGTATTTGTGTGCCTTCATGAGATAAATATACAGTACCAGTCAAAAGTTTGGACACCTACTCATTCAAGGGTTTTTCTTTGTTTTTACTATTTTTTACATTGTAGAATAATAGTGAAGACATCAAAACTAGTTCAGTCGCAAAAACCATCGAGCTATGATGAAACTGCCTCTCATGAGGACCGGCACAGGAATGGAAGACCCAGAGTTACCTCTGCTGCAGAGGATAAGTTCATTAGTTACCAGCCTCAGAAATTGCAGCCCAAATAAATGCTTTACAGAGTTCAAGGTACAGACACATCTCAACATCAACTATTCAGAGGGGACTGTGTGAATCAGGCCTTCATGGTCGAATTGCTGCAAAGAAACCACTACTAAAGGACACCAATAATAAGAAGAGACCTGCTTGGGTAAAAAAAAAAACGAGTAATGGACATTAGACCAGTGGAAATCTGTCCTTTGGTCTGGAGTCCAAATTTGAAATGTTGTGTTCCAACCGCCGTATCATTGTGAGACGCAGCGTAGGTGAACGGATATCCGCATGTGTAGTTCCCACCGTAAAGCATGGAGGAGGAAGTGTTATGGCGTGGGGGTGCTTTGCTGGTGACACTGTCAGTGATTTATTTAGAATTCAAGGCACACTTAACCAGCATGGCTACTACAGCATTTTACAGCAATTCGCCATCCCATCTGGTTTGTGCTTAGTGGGATTATCATTTTTCTTTTCAACAGGACAATGACCCAACACACCTCCAGGCTGTGTAAGGGCTATTTTACCAAGAAGGAGAGTGATGGAGTGCTGCATCAGATGACTTGGCATCCACAATCCCCCGACCTCAACCCAATTGAGATGGTTTGGGATGAGTCGGACGGCAGAGTGAAGGAAAAGCAGCCAACAAGTGCTCAGCATATGTGGGAACTCCTTCAAGACTGTTGGAAAACGCATTCCAGGTGAAGCTGGTTAATAGAACGCCAAGAGTGTGCAAAGCTGTCATCAAGGCAAAGGGTGGCTATTTGAAAAATCTCAAATATAAAATAAATGTTGAGTTGTTTAACACTTTTTGGTTACAACACTATTATTCTACAATGTAGAAAATAGTAAAAATAAAGAAAAACCCTGGAATGAGTAAGTGTGTCCAAACTTACTGTATCTCATATTTCAGTCGCTTTATCAATACCGCTGTCTAAGTCTTGGCGCTTGTACTCCCTCTACTCTACCACAGCCTTTGGCTCCCGCAGGGATAGGGATGACGGCGGGCGGCGTGCCTTTGGCAGTGGGTACCGCCGTGACGATGACTATCAGAGTGGCGGGGGTGGTGGTAGCCGCTACGGGGACCGGGATCGCTACGGTGGGGACCGGGAGGACCGGTACGAGAGGCAGGACGAAGGGAGTGAGGAGAGACGTGAGGGTAAACTACCCTCAAATTGTGCTCAATATTTTATTTATTATTATTATTATTCTGTATATTATTCAACCACGTAACCACATGTCCATCCTGCTACCCCCCACTGACACCACCCTTCCCTCAGGTCCCCTGCCTAGATCCCCTTTAAATAATTAGTGTTATATTCCAGCACAATATGATCAGGTCTCCCTTGGAGATGTATCCAAGGTTCAAATAAAGGTTAAATATAGACAAAATGTCAACCCTGTAACCCCCCACCCCCCCCCCCCCCCCAACCAGGTGGTCCCACCGAGAGGCCCAAGCTGGTCCTGAAGCCTCGCAGCATGCCTAAGGAGGTGGAGCAGGCCGGTGGTGGTGGGGCTCCCCCAGCTGCTCCGGCAGCCGCCCGCAGCTCTGGTCGAGCCTCCATCTTCGGAGGGGCCAAACCCGTGGACACAGCGGCTAAGGAGCGGGAGGTGGAGGAGAAGCTCCAGAGGCAGCTGGAAGAGGACAAGTCCAGGGGCTTTGAAAGGAAACCCCGCGACAGAGACAGGTGAGGTGTTGGGTGTATAGCAGGAAGCGGCAGAGCTGACTTGAGCATGGGTCTGGCAGAATTCTTGAGTAATGTTATGGTAAGCAAAACACTATGCAAGGGCAAACCTGGTGCAACATAAACAGCATGGCAATTGGCACTAAAACTCAGATTATGTGCCCGTATCTGTCTGTTTTCAGCTCTAAATTATAAATTTGCGCAGCGGTCTAAGGCACTGCATCTCAGTGCTAGAGGCGTCACTGCAGACCCTGGTTAGATTCCAGGCTGTATCACAACTGGCCGTGATTGGGAGTCCCATAGGGAGGCGCACAATTGGCCCAGTGTCATCAGGATTTGGCCGGGGTAGGCCATCATTGTAAATAAGAATTTGTTCATAACTGACTCGCCTAGTCAATGCTAGAACTAACATGCTGACCACACCGGCCGCGTTGCAACCAAAATAAATTGACACATACATTATTTTCAATAATTTCATCCAAACTTCTTGACTGTCTGCGTAGCCAGGCGATAAAATAGAACTTGGTTCTATTTTTGACGCTTGAAGTGCTGCAAGTCCCGCCTCTCCTCATTGGTTTTTAGGAGCATATACCCACGTGGGTGATTGAAAGATGAACATCCAGTTGGTGCCGGTAATGCACCTTAAAGTTGGTTGCCAACCGCCATATAAAGTCAAAGACGACTGAAGGAGGAGAGATTACTAGAAACTAACTAGGTTTCCCCTTATCTGTGGATTAATTGGCGGAGTAGAGAACACACGATTTTGTGACCTAAAATAGGTCAAAATTCTACAAAGATCCAGGAAAAAAAGGACCTTGTGCATTTCAGGTAAAATAACAACCCAATGTTTATATCTCAGGACAAATTAGCTAGCAACAGCAAGCTAGCTAGTTAAATATACCATAATAATAATATACCATTTAGTAGATGCTTTTATCCAAAGCGACTTACAGTCATGTGTGCATACATTTTTACGTATGGGTGGTCCCTGGAATCGAACCCACTACCCTGGCGTTACAAGAGCCGTGCTCTACCAATTGAGCTACAGAGGATCATGAATGTTTGATGTGTTTTGACCTGTCACCAAATTAATATAGTTGGTTCAGAGTTAGTTTTGATATTTCAACATGCGTGTCTAGATTGCGTCTGGTGTGGATGGACAAAATCAACATGCGCACATGGACGCGCGTGACTGGTCTAGTCAGCATGTAATTGATATTATGCATATCGTCTTAAAGTATTTACTCAAAACCTTTCTCTTCTGTCCTCAGGGACCCAAGCTGGAGGAATGAGGAGCCACCTTCTGAGCGGTCCCGCACAGGAAGTGAGTCATCACAGCCAGGAAGTACATCTGGAGGGAGAGGTGAGGGTCAACCTTATTTAGCTGCTTCTTCTGAGTTCAATCCGGTTCTCTTTGTGGGCTCTTTGCTTGTGGTTTAAGCACCCTTACATGATCAGCTTTTAAGTTTAAACCACAATATTCAATGTATTGTCACGGTAGATATTTGTTTTCTGTCAGTTATCAGACTAGTGGCCACTCTTTTTCAGCATTATTTCAGGGAATGCATATCTATAATATATACATTCCAGTGGAGGCTGCTGAGGGGAGGACAGCTCATAATCATGTCTAGAAAGGCGCAAATGGAATGGAAACCATGTGTTTGATGTATTTAATACCGTTCCATCTTTTCCGCTCCAGCCATTACCACGAGCCCGTCCTTCCCAATTAAGGTTCCACCAGCTTCCTGTGATACATTGGGGTCCGAAATGATTGACACCCTTGATAAAGATGAGCAAAAATCACTGTATAAAATAAATAGTTCAAATACTGAGCTATACTAAAAAAAAATGCAACGTGAATGGTCTAATATCTAGGGCCGGGACAATACCACTATCGAAATACTCATTAGTATCGTGGTAAGTATGGTTGGGCCGATGTATGACTAAATCAAATATCATGAGAAAAGTGCAAGACTATACTCTACTTGAATTTTACAAATCAAAACTGTGCAGTTTTATCAGTTGGGCTGTATCAATATGTTGAAAATTAAGTCTAAATGAATTAAGCCTTATTTGATTGCCACAGAGATTATTTAATGAGAATGTGACTATAATATTGTTAATAAGCACAAAAATGGCACAGTCTGAAATAATTTAGTCATTAACGGCGCAAAAATGATTATATCGGTTATCGCAATATTTGGAGTAGCATATCGTAGAAGAGGTCTCCCCAAATATTGCCCAACCCTAGTGGCAAGGAAACAAAACATGAAGCGGATGTAACTTATTTAGGAAAACAGCCCTAATGCTGGAAACAAACAATTGTCTTGTCATCGAGTCATATTTTATTTATTTTCCAAGGTGTTTGGTCTGCTTTGTGTTGTCATTTTTGGCATGGAAAAAATATTGTGATACTGGTATTAGAGGTTTACACTGGTCCAAAAAGTTGGACCCGTTCCGAAATGGACCTGGGGCTTTCCCACCCGGATCCGATATGCATAATTATATATTTTTTCATATAGAGACCCGTTCCGATTGGACCCGAGAACAACTAAACCTGTTCCGTATAGACCTGGTCGGATCCTGAACCAGAAATCATTTTTTAAGCTACTTTATTAACCGGAGTTGATAAAGCGCAAGAGGAGAGGTGCCCCTCTAGCAGGAGGGGGGAGGGGCTGTACTGTGAGCGAGTGACACGGAGGAGGGAGGGAGTGAGGGACAGAAGAGAAACGGCAACCAACCAAGCAGACTTGCGCTTTAGAAGACTAATAGCTGCCTTAGGTAGGTTATTTATTATCAAATATGATTACGAAGTACCTGTCTCGACTGCATCAAACCAGGAGAAGCTAATTAAACTAGCTAATGTTAGCTAGTTAGGCTAATTGAGGCTGCATTGCATGCGCTTTCTCATCCTACAATTACAAATAACTCCATTCAGAATATTAGTGCCTTCAGAAAGTATTCATACCCCTTCACTTATTACACATTTTGTTGTTACAGCTTGAATTCAAAATTATTTAAATATATTTTTGTCAGCTTTTTTAAATAATTATTTTCCATGAAGCAATTAGGTCCCCTTCTTTGTGAGGCATTGGAAAATCTTCCTGGTCTTGGCGGTTGAATCTGTTTGAAATTCACTGCTCATCTGAGGGACCTTACAGATAATTGTATGTGTGGGGTACAGAGATAGTCAGTCATACCCAAAAAAAAATGTAAACACTATTATTGCACACAGTGATTCCATGCAACTTTTGTGACTTGTTAAGCACATTTTTACACCTCAACTTATTTAGGCTTGCCATAACAAAGGAGTTGAATACTTATTGACTCAAGACATTTCAGCTTTTCATTTTTAATTAACACCACTTTGACAATATGGGGTATTGTGTGTAGGCTAGTGACCAAAAATCTAAATTTAATATTTTAAATTCATGCTTTAACACAACAAATTGTGGAAAAAGTAAAGGTGAGTACCGTATTTTCCGCACTATAAGGCGCACCGGAGTATAAGCCGCAGCAGCTAAATTGAATGATGTGTACATATATAAGCCGCACTGGACTATAAGCCGCAGGTGTTTTAATGTTTAATACCTAGGAGGTCTTCTAGTGGCCCGTTAGCTGTAAAAATCAATAGATTAGCCGCACCGTTATATAAGCCGCAGGGTCGAAAAATTTGAAAAAAGGCACGGCTTATAGTCCGAAAATTACGGTACTTTCTGAAGGCACTGTAAGTAGCAGCCTACCTGTTGGCTCTTGGTCGTTGTAGCCTATCCTTGTCTAATTTTTATTTCTGTAATTTTAATTCCATGACTAGCCTATTGCTGCTTTGATGACTTATGATTGGCCAACAAGCTACACGCGCCACGCTCCACTCGTGAAAAGCAGCAGCATAAATGATCATATGTCTCTCTCTCGGCTGCCGCTGTCTCGTTCGGATCTGTACGGGCCCTTCCGGACAAGTGAGTTAAAGTTACACATACCCGAGACCTGTGACAATCATATCAGCTCCGACCCAGACCCGTGACATTTAGAATGCCGGATCCGGACCCGCTCGGGTCCCAGATGGGGTCTCGGTTATTCAGTACAAGTGAATCCGTGAAGACCTCTAACTGGTATCGTCACAGCCCTACGAAGATCACTCCCAATGTGTTCTCCAACTCATAAAGCATTAAGCTCTATTGTTATCCTCTATTGTTATCCTCACTAGGTGAGGTATTGAAAAATAGGGGTGTCAATAAACAAAATATATTTATCTGAGCAATTGTGTGTATGTATGTATGTATGTATGTATGTATGTGTATATACAGGGGTGCACATAACTTTTTCAGTGAGTTACTCAGGTGAGTACCAGCAGATGGTGTCTGGTACTCACCCCATATGTAGCGTGGTCTTAATAAGTGCAGTCTTCCTCACTGTCCTCCTCAGTGTCGCCCCCACTGTCCTCCTCAGTGTCGCCCCCACTGTCCTCCTCAGTGTCGCCCCCACTGTCCTCCTCAGTGTCGCCCCCACTGTCCTCTGCTTCAGCTTCCTGCATGGTAGATGATGAAGATGCTGCAGATGCACCTCCCTGTCCTTGGTTGAGCCTCCGATTAGCTGTCTCCATCCACAGGTCAACAGCAGGCTTTGGGTCAAATGTCTCTGTGGTCTGCTTTGACAGGTGAATGTGCATCAGGGCTGAGAGACGAGCATGTGACAGGCGAGATCTGTACTTGGTTTTTATTATGTTGAGATGTGAGAATCCCCTCTCACAAGCTGCACTGCTTAAAGGCAGTGTAAGAGACAGCTTAACCACCTTGTTGATGTTGGAGTAAGCATCTGGGTTACTTGTATTTACTATTTGGACCAAGTCATACACAGAAGAGGCTCCCAGGCGTTTTCCTGCCTGCTTTAAGCGCATCCATTCTGTCACAGTGGTATCTTTGTCAAGTTGCAAGGTGGCCTCATATTTCTTGAGAATGCTGCAAACGGTTGTGTTTCCAAAACTGTGGAGGTCTTGCATTTCCTGAGGCCATGTTGAAGGATCAAATACTAGGAAATGATCACATGACTTGAGGGAGTCATATCTGATTTCAAACTCTTCAATTAACCCCCTGAGTAAGTGTGTCTTGTCTCTGTCAGCATCAGCATTGGAAACAGTGTGTGCCCTGTGGCTTTCACCATCAAGCAGAAGTGTGAACTGTCCAATGGCCACCATGAGTTCATCCTTACATTCTCCAATGGTCAGCTTTTCCTTCTGAAACCTAATGGATGTGGTCTTCAAAATGTTGCAAATGTCAAGTATGTTTGACAGAAAGCACTGAAAACGCTCTGTGCAGATATGCTGCAAGTCACTGTTATCACTCGTAACCAGTTGCATTTTAATGGCTGGCAATAGTCTTGATATTTTTAAGTGTTTCATGCCTCCATGCAGACCATCTGATATTATGAAACTTACCCAGTTTCACAAAGGAGATCCCATTTTCTTCACATAGCTTATTCAGTGCAGCAGTTTTTTTTGCTCCACCTTTTTGTAAATAAAACTGCAGCAGCTTGACCACAGAGCGATTAAATGTCTCACAGTAAGGAACGTTGCGATCAGCTGATTTCGCGCAATTCTCCAGTGTGTGTGCGGTGCACAGAATGTGCACAAGGGAGTCTCCAACAAGTTGCCGGAGTTTTGGCACAACGCCGTTGTAGATACCTACGTTGACAGCAGCCCCGTCTGTGCACACAGCGACCAACTTTGTTGTCCAGTCATCCAAGCCTGTGTCCTGGAAAAGTCTCACAAGTCCGTATGTTATGGCCTGCGCAGTTCGATCAGCACCCAATTCAATCAGTCCAATAAAGTCCGAAGTAAACTCTCCGTTGCTGGACACAGACACAATGTAAACGATTTCCTGCTCAGTTTTTGTGATGTCCTCAGATCCATCAAAAAGCAGCCCCCAAAATTCAGCAGACTGCAACTTGGCTCGTAACTCCCCGCTGATGGTGTGAGCGATACTCTGCATGATCCGTGTGCCCCCTTCACGTGAATGATATGCACCTCCGACATTTACTCCTAGCCGCTTCAGTAAAGGAACATCCTCAGAATAGGAAGACATGGGACGTGCGTGTTTAGCTTTATGGAAGGCGAGGAGAAAAATATTAAACAGAGCTTGCCGCTGTTCTTCATTCAGCTTGTCTCGCCATCTGGCAAGTGGGCGACTGGACATTTCTTCTCGGCTAGCTTGTTTATTAGCAACGGCTTGCGCCACATTCGTGTGCTCCTTGCTCTTTTCATGTTTGTCAAATAAAGGATGGTTGAAATTCTTTGAGCCTTTATAAAATGCACCTGTTTTGTCTGCTAGATGTGGATTTGAGCGGCAAATCTTGCACCACATTTCAGTGCGCTCATCGTTAGCTTCAAGCCACTGCACATCTTGGAGCCACTTTTCCGAAAAAAGTATTTTCTTCGGCTCTGGCTCCAGTTGGCGTTTCTTTGTAGGTGGCGAAACGCCAAAGAAGCTGCTTAATGTCTGTTGCTTTTTGGACATCCCTGACAGTAGTTGACAAGCAACATGTCATGTGTAAGGTTAGATGAGAAGATCGGTCAAGTACGCAAAGGCGCGTAGTAACACAAGTGGCATTACGCATTCCTGATTTCTGTCGCGCTTGTGTACCAGTTATGTGCACCCCTGTGCATATATATATATATATATATATATATACATATACATATACATACATGCATGCATGCATGCATGCATGCATGCATGCATGCATGCATGCATGCATGCATGTATATATATATATATATATATATATATGCATGCATGCATGCTGTATATGGTCTTGCTTTGCACTTCTCTTCTTTATCTGCACCAAACTAAAAAGACAGCATCCCATCTTCACCCCACAGCCTCACGGCGCAGAGAGAGCGAGCGCTCCGTGGAGAACGAAGTATTCAGCGGTAAGGAGGACGACCCTCCCTCTCTCGGAGCTTGCCCCTCTTCCGCCAACTCTTCCACCTTCTCCTCCAAGGAGCCCCTCAAGGTGATGCCTGCACCGCCACCTAAGGAGAATGCCTGGGCCAAGCGGCCTGCGGTGAGCGCAGGGTCCAGCGAGGGACGTTCCCCTATCTCCCCCAGTGACGCGGCACCCCACAAACTGAGGTCAGAACACGTTCTTATACATCTTGTATATTGTATAGCATCTCTGGATAACGAAGTGGCCAATTATGTCTCGTATTGATGTCACAGCCATTACCAAAAGCCTGTCTATTTTAGTGACTGTAGCTAAGAATAGTTTAGAATAGTTTTGTTGCAAGCTAGTTAGTTAAACGTCTGAATGTCCCGTCTCTCTTTTCAGCTCGAGTTCTGCAAATGAAAGAGGATCTGGAAAGGGTAAGACTCTGAGACCGCAAAGACCTTGTGCTTGTGTGTTAGAAGTACCTTCCAAATAAGGAGTAATGGAGACTTTGTCCTAATCTAATCCCAGAGTGGACCGACTAGGCCTTTCGGTCCTACTCTCAAACTAAGAGATTCTGAGTGTGATTGACACTTTTGGGTTCTATTCACCCCCTCGCTGTTGAATCGCTGCTGGATTATGATATTTTACAACATCCACAGGGCTTGACATTAACTTTTATAGCCACTTGTCCTTTTTTTTTTTTCTTGTTCAAAAGCCCAAGTCACTTGTTTTAAAAATAAAAAAATAGATTTGCAAGGAACCACTTTACAAAATAAAATGCTATCTTTTTACCATAGAGAATCAGACAAAAATGTAGACTGCACTCTGGCTATTGGCTTCTTTTGCATATTCAAGCCTGTCTCAAAATACAACACTGCCTCTTTTAAGGCTCTCCTGGAGAATGGTTAGCCTGACGACTCACATGAAATTATTCTGCTGCTCTGTCGTTCGCTACATACTTTGGTCTGAGACTGCCATCATTGAAGTTGTTTGTGGTGACACTGACTAGGGGCGTTGTAAAAAACAAAATCCTCAGCTATTGGATCGGCTCTAACCAATCAGAATATCAAAGCCTAATTTTCAAACCGCCGCTTTACCAACGTGTGTTCTGGCTCTGGCCCAACCCATCAGTTACTGGACCAATCAGACGGCCCTGAATGTGTTCGCATTCGGTGAAGGGTCGGGGATGTACTCTGATCCAGACTCATTGCGAAGAAGAAAAACGTACATGGGCGTGGCGTAGCGTTTGGCCTGAGCAAGGAGTCTGGGTGGCCAGGCAATTGTTTGCCACGCATGGGTTGCGTTTACACAGGCAGCCCAATTCTGATATTTGTCCACTAATTGGTCTGTTGACCATTCACATCAGATCTTTTAACATCATATTTTTCAGAGCTGATCTGATTGGTCAAAGACCAATTGGTGAAAAAAATCTGATTTGGGCTACTTGTGTAAAACGCAGCGTTGGTGGCCTATAAAATATTACATTACAATTACAACCATATAGTTTTTTATGTCTTTATAAAATAATTCCCTCCAGGGCTCTTAATTAAGGGTGTCTCGTCTTCCCTGGGACGATAAAAAATATGTCTACGGTTCAAAACACTCTGGGACAGTTCTGGGAGTACAGATTCAAAATCCATACAACTGCTGCACATTAAAACATTTAAAAAGCAATGAGGCTGATGCAACAGATGAGACCATTTTCTTAAAATGTTAGATTTATTTCTTCATATTATAAGCTCAACAATACACACGTTGAATGTTCCAAAATGCAATTAGCGGGAAAACGCTGTTCTCAAAAGCACACCGCACACGCGAGCGGTTTCATGTGACAGGGATGAAAATATCTGCTAGAAATTAAGAAGGGAGAATGAGTGTGATTGACACTTTTGGGTTCTATTCACCCCCTCGCTGTTGAATCACTGCTGGATTATGATCTTTTATAGCTCAGTTGGTAGAGCATGGCGCTTGCAACGCCAGGGTTGTGAGTTCGATTCCCACGGGGGACCAGTATGAAAATGTATGCACTCACTAACTGTAAGTCGCTCTGGATAAGCGCGTCTGCTAAATAACTAAAATGTAAATGTGAAAACGCATCAACTAGCATGCGTTTGCGAATATGACTAGGATTATGCCTTTGGCTGCTGGATAATAAACTAACGTTGATTTTTGAAAACCGATAGAACATGAGAAAAATGCTGGTTTCAATGGAATATTAAGTATTTATAAAATAATTCCCTCAACATTTATATGGTTGTATTTTGGCTAGGCTACTTTGATTGAACCAAGGTAAGATATGCTTCATAAAATGACATAAACCTCCAGTTTTAAACAATTAAAGCTGCAATATGTAACTTTTTGGGTGACCCAACCAAATTCTCATAGAAATGTGCGTTTATACATCTATTATTCTCATTGACAGCCATTTTATGAAGTGGTAGATTGGTTCTATTTCTATGCGTCCCGATAAGTTTTGTTTTTGCGTCTTTTACTTTCGGTTTTGTACACCAGCTTCAAAAAGATAAATGAAATATTTTGGGTTATAGAAAATATATTTCACAGCGGTTTAGATGGTACAATGATTCTCTACGCTTGCTTGTTTTGGTACAAACGTAAATTAGGCGAACTATTCAAATTTTTGCAACCAGGAAATGGCGGAGCGATTTCTGCATATTGCACTCTTAAGTTTATGGTTAAATGGTTTTAAAATGCTGACCGCCTCCGCTCAGATTCAAGGTGGGTGATATGTGGTGCGCAACAGGCTCTGTTCTTCACTTTGTGGTCTTGTGACCATTTGATCTGAACGAACCATGCCTCGAGTAGGCTATGTCGACAGAATCAAGCCTTTAGACATTAATGTTAATTATCCTATGTTATTATATTTGTAAAACATAACTGGCGTTTAGCCTATAGTTATGTTATTAAGTCTCGTTAAAGTGTGGCGACATTTTCTGGCACCTCATGTCAGCATTGGTTTGGACATGAGGCTGTAGCCAATATGCATATCACCTACACTTTATTATGTAGGCTTTTTTATGTACAGTTGAAGTCGGAAGTTTACATAGACCTTAGCCAAATACATTTAAACTCAGTTTTCACAATTCCTGACATTTAATCCTAGTAAAGATTCCCTGTCTTAGGTCAGTTAGGATCACCACTTTATTTTAAGAATGTGAAATGGCAGAATAATAGTAGCGAGTGATTTATTTCAGCTTTTATTTCTTTCATCACATTCGCAGTGGGTCAGAAGTTTACATACACTCAAAAAGTATTTGGTAGCATTGCCTTTAAATTGTTTAACATGGGTCAAACGTTTCGGGTAGCCTTCCACAAGCTTCCCACAATAAATTGGGTGAATTTTGGCCCATTCCTCCTGACAGAGCTGGTGTAACTGAGTCAGGTTTGTAGGCCTCCTTGCTCGAACACGCTTTTTCAGTTCTGCCCACAAATGTTCTATAGGATTGAGGTCAGGGCTTTGAGATGGCCACTCCAATATCTTGACTTTGTTGTCCTTAAGCCATTTTGCCACAACTTTGGAAGTACAGTTGAAGTCAGAAGTTTACATACACTTAGGTTGGAGTCATTAACTTGTTTTTCAACCACTCCACAAGTTCTTGTTAACAAACTACAGTTCTGGCAAGTCGGTTAGGACATCTACTTTGTGCATGACACAAGTAATTTTTCCAACAATTGTTTACAGACAGATTATTTCACTTTTATAATTCAATGTATCACAATTCCAGTGGGTCAGAAGTTTACATACACTAAGTTGACTGTGCCTTTAAACAGCTTGGAAAATTCCAGAAAATGATGTCATGTCTTTAGAAGATTCTGATAGGCTAATTGACATCATTTGAGTCAATTGGAGGTGTACCTGTGGATGTATTTCAAGGCCTACCTTCAAACTCAGTGCCTCTTTGCTTGACATCATGGGAAAATTAAAAGAAATCAGCCAAGACCTCAGAAAAAATTGTAGACCTCCACAAGTCTGGTTCTTCCTTGGGAGCAATTTCCAAATGCCTGAAGGTACCACGTTCATCTGTACAAACAATAGTACGCAAGTATAAACACCATGGGACCACGCAGCTGTCATACCGCTCAGGAAGGAGAAGCGTTCGGTCTCCTAGAGATGAACGTACTTTGGTGCGAAAAGTGCAAATCAATCCCAGAACAACAGCAAAGGACCTTGTGAAGATGCTGGAGGAAACAGGTACAAAAGTATCTATATCCACAGTAAAACGAGTCCTATATCGACATAACCTGAAAGGCTGCTCAGCAAGGAAGAAGCTACTGCTCCAAAACCACAATAAAAAAGCCAGACTACGGTTTGCAACTGCACATGGGGACAAAGATCGTACTTTTTGGAGAAATGTCCTCTGGTCTGATGTCCATTTGGAAGACCCATTTGCGACCAAGATTAAAATTCCTGACTGATGTCTTGAGATATTGCTTCAATATATCCAAATAATTTTCCTTCATCATGATGCCATCTATTTTGTGAAGTGCACCAGTCCCTCCTGCAGCAAAGCACCCCCACAGCATGATGCTGCCACCCCCGTGCTTCACGGTTGGGATGGTGTTCTTCGGCTTGCAAGCGTTCCCCTTTTTCCTCCAAACATAACGATGGTCATTATGGCCAAACAGTTCTATTTTTGTTTCATCAGACCAGAGGACATTTCTCCAAAAAGTACGATCTTTGTCCGCATGTGCAGTTGCAAACCGTAGTCGTCTGGCTTTTTTATGGCGGTTTTGGAGCAGTGGCTTCTTCCTTGCTGAGCGGCCTTTCAGGTTATGTCGATATAGGACTCTGTGGATATAGATACTTTTGTACCTGTTTCCTCCAGCATCTTCACAGGGTCCTTTGCTGTTGTTCTGGGATTGATTTGCACTTTTCGCACCAAAGTACGTTAATCTCTAGGAGACAGAACGCGTCTCCTTCCTGACCGGTATGACAGCTGCGTGGTCCCATGGTGTTTATACTTGCGTACTATTGTTTGTACAGATGAACGTGGTACCTTCAGGCATTTGGAAATTGCTCCCAATGATGAACCAGACTTGTGGAGGTCTACAATTTTATTTCTGAGGTCTTGGCTGATTTCTTTAGATTTTCCCATGATGTCAAGCAAAGAGGCACTAAGTTTGAAGGTAGGCCTTGAAATACATCCACAGGTACACCTCCAATTGACACAAATGATGTCAATTAGCCTATCAGAAGCATCTAAAGCCATGAAATCATTTCCTGGAATTTTCCAAGCTGTTTAAAGGCACAGTCAACTTAGTGTATGTAAACTTCTGACCCACCGGAATTGTGATACAGTGAATTATAAGTGAAATAATCTGTCTATAAACAATTTTTTGAAAAATTACTTTTCATGCACAAAGTAGATATCCTAACCGACTTGCCAAAACTATAGTTTGTTAACAAGAAATTTGTGGAGTGGTTGAAAAACGAGTTTCAATGACTCCAACCTAAGTGTATGTAAACTTCCTACTTCAACTGTATGTACATTAACAATAGATTTGAGTATTATTCCAATGTTGGCCTCTCTGATTATGATCCATTTCTGATCTAAGTAATTGTTTGATTTTGGCATTTTCTTTACTTGTCCATTCAGACAACTTAAATCTATATTCTTCTTGTCAGGCATTTTTATTAAACTTGTCCCGGACAAGAGGACAAGCGTTAATGTCGAGCCCTGATCACGTTCCAATTCTAAAATATACTGAACAAAAATATAAATGCAGCATGCAACAATTTCAGATATTGTTTTTTCATATATATATATATATATTTATTTGTTTCTTTCTGAGTTACAGTTCATATAAGGAAATCAGTCAATTGAAATAAATTCATTAGGCCCTAATCTATGGATCTCACATGACTGGGCAGGGGCTGAACCATGGGTGGGCTTGGGAGGGCATAGGCCCACCCACTAGGGAGCCAGGCCCAACCACAAAAGGGCTTTATTAGACAGAAATACTCCTCAGCAACGTCCCCTTCAGATCCCAGTAAGACTTGCTGTCGCCATTGGTGTTGGCTATTGGGGATCCTAATAAATCAAATCAAAATCCCTCCCCTCAGACGATCCCGAAGGTGAAGAAGCCGGATGTGGAGGTCCTGGGCTGGCGTGGTTGTGAGGCCGGTTGGACTGCCAAATTCTCTAAAACGGTGTTGGTGGCTTATGGTAGAGAAATGAACATTCAATTCTCTGGCAACAGCTCTGGTGGACATTCCTGTAGTCAGCATGACAATTGCACTCCCTCAACTTGAGACATCTGTGGCATTCTGTTCTGTGACAAAACGGCACATTTTAGTGGCCTTTTATTGTCCCCAGCACAAGGTTCACCTGTGTAATGACATGCTGTTTAATCAGCTTCTTGATATGCCACACCTGTCAGTTGGATGGATTATCTTGGCAAAGGAGAAATGCTCACTAACTGGGATGTAAAGAAATGCGTGCACAAAATTTGAACACTAAGCTTTTTGTGCGTATAGAACATTTCTGGGATTTCTTTTATTTAACCTCATGAAACATGGGACCAACACTTTACATTTATATTTTGGTATAAATTGTTGATTATTTCCCCTTCTAGCTCTTCTACCCTTCTAGGGTTTGGTCATTAGCTAAAGCAGAGGATATGGGAGTGAATGGGTGGATTGGGACGAGGAGGCCACATCTTGACTAAAATGGATTGAAGTGTAGCACTGCCCAATTCTGGTCCTGGATAATCTCTCCTGTTGTTTCTCTTGCCTGGTTTCATTGGCTAGCTGGTCTGGAGTGTTGACAAAAAGCAATGTGGAAGCTCGCCCACCAGTACTTCACTCACACACAATAATTTCAAATGAATGAGGATGATGAGGTAGGACAACTGAAGCAACTTTGAAGAATTGCAATCAAACTCTAATTTACTTAATTGTCAGTTGACACAACCCAGGAAAGAGGAGAAGGCAGGAACAAAACTGGGCAGCCCTGGTGTAAAGCAAAAGTGGGGAACGCTTGGTCCTGTAGGGGTGCAGTGTCTGCTAGTTCCCAGGGCAGTATTTAAAAGGCACCAAACGACCTGAATCCAGTATTAATAACACTCCTTTCCGTAAAACATTTTGAAAGTGTTCTCTCTTGTTTGTTCTTTTTGATCACACCCCTTGTGTTATCAAGCTGTTGACAGATTTTTCCATGAATATGACAGTAACTCCTGGAAAATGAGGTAAGATGAGTACCTATTTAATGACTCTGGTTTATTAATCAGGTGAAGGTTGTCAGTCAGTAAAAGCAGCAGACCCTGCGGCTAGTAAGGAAAATGGGTTCCCCAGGCCCAGGTTGTATTCAAGATTACAAAGGTTTGAAGTGTGAAACTCCCATTCGACACTAGATTTTTTGCATAGCTGCGCAAACGTAATGATCTTGAACGCAACCTGGGCCGTAGGCTGTGTGGAATGCTGTTGTAGCCTTTAGTGGAGTTCCAGCCACCCAAACCCCTCCCTCAATCCTCACTGTTTGGGCTCTCCCTTCCAGACGAGAATAAAGTGGACGGTGTGCGTCTGGACCGGGGCCCCCCACGGGGGAGAGGGGGGGCCGCGGGGCCTGGAGCAGGGCGGGGCCGAGGAGAGGGGGCCAACAGAAACCGACGAAGGGAGGAAGACAGGTCAGCCCAAAACGAGTGGCATTAGTGGAATAGGCAGGGTATTGCAGCCAGGGAACCTCTAAAGGTTGGTTTATGGTTGACGCGTCAACCGCTTTTGGGAATGAAGAAAGTTAAAAACAATGCAATTGCTACCCTTATCCGTCAAATCAAAGGTCACCAAATGCTTGCTAGCTAAGTGGAAGCGCCTTCACCAGGGCCCAATGCTGTCTTCAGTGAGGAGATTGCAGATGCAACCGCCAATTCCTCGACTCTTGGCTCCCCCGAAGGTGACTGCTTAGCATGAGACAAGAAGCAAGGGCTAGCTTGCCTCCACGACAACAGCACAACATGATAATTTGGAAGTTTTGAACATCATGTTATCATGACTGTATTATGTAAATATTAATGATAAAATAACTAAATAATAATTACCCGCTTCCAAGGGTTGTAGTTCCTTGTTATGGTAACAGTAAAACCTGAACTGAATGGTTTTGGGGAATAAAATTAACACTTATATATTTGTACAAGACTTTGTTTAGCTAGCTAATTCAAGCGTGGGACTCCACGAACAGTAAGCGCATTTTATGCGTCTTACACTCCAGAACAGTAGCTAGCGGTATATACCAGTTGTCAGTGTAAATTTAAGAAAACTTAAAAAGAAAAGATGCTGACAGTGAGGATAGCAAGCTAGCAAACTAGTTTTGACTAACTAGCCAGAAAGCTAGCTATTGTAGCATCTAGCTCACTTGTTAGCTTGCCAGCAACACTCAAAATTCTTGCTAGCTTGTTGGCTAGCCATGCAAATAATAATTATGATTAGAAATATTTCACTAGTATTTCCTTGCAAGTAGCCTAACTTGGCGAACCAACATTTCTTTGGTTATAGTACTGGCTGATTTCGCTTTGGTTTTCCTCATGTAAAAAAAATCCCACTGGAAACGTTATTTGTGTCTTAGAGGCGTGCGTTCATGTGGGTGTTGTCTTGCATGTGTCGTCGAAAGTGGAAACGATTTTTGTTTTAGTATTTTTTTTTGTCACAGTTCCTATTTTAAACTGGATGGCGCTGGTTAAGGCTGCATACGTTCCTATGGTGTTTTCACACGTTGGTCAGTACCCCCAACTTATAACATTTGTGTTCTAGCCCCGCACAAGCACACCTGAGCTTGACTATTAGTTGAGTAGTTAAATAAGGAATGCTTGTGTGGGGCTTAAACAGGTTCTCAACATGACACATTTCTAAGTCGAAACACTCCTGTTGGTGACTAATTAACTATTAGCCAGCCTTTAGAGGTTACTCGAGAGATTGTGAGGGTGAATACTATTAGTCTTCTCCTGCATATACAGTTATGAGTGGATTATATTGGATCAATTATAATTATTTGGTGTCCTACTGTTGAAGTGTGCTAGTGCCAGTTTGTGCGCACAGTCTCTGACCTGTAAGACTTAGCTGGACGGTGAAGTTTAACTGGGTGTTTATTCTGTTTATAGAAAGGATAAAAGAAGAAGCCGAGACTCGAGACCTGCCCCAGAGCCAAAGAAATACGAAGAGTCCCCCACCCTCGTGAGTCCTGGTGCCACATCAAGTGGTCTTGACACACCCTATTGTGTATTTGGATTTTCCCCAAAGCCTCACACACTATTCCCCTCTCCCATGTAAAGTTTTGATTATTCAGAAACTGAAACTTACCCCTGTATCATCTTCAGTCTTCCACTGAAACTGTCCCCAAACGGTCTTCAGTCCTTTAACCCATTATCCCTTCAAATTGGCTTCAGTCCTTGGAACCGCCCTTTCAGTATCCCTCATCATCGACAGCTTTTTCCCTCAATCTTTCCTTTTTTGTTCTTCTGTCTTTTTTGGCTTTTATTGCAAAGTCATATAACAGGAAAAACATGGGTCCCACTTTATGACAAGTGTTCTAATATCTATATACATAATAGTTATGCATACATATAATGCGTAGGCGGGTACAATGTAATTACAGTTTAGGTGCACATTGTGACATAGGTCTTACGACAACTGTTATATCCGTTACCTGTGGTACCATAAGTATTTAGAACATTTATTGTAAAGTGGGACCAAGTGAGCAATGTTAGGATCTCTCATGTTCTATTTTGTTTTTTGTTTCAGAATTTCAGCTCAGCCAGTAAATACGCCGCTCTGCTAATGGACGGAGAGCAAGGAGATGACGCGGAGAACGGCGTGGAATAAAACGAGAAGGGGAGAAAGAAGAGGAGATCCAGCGAATGAAAGAATATCACATTAAATATGAATATCTCCTCACCTGGAGTAGAGGCACCTGGGGAAGTCATCACTCCTTCCTTCCTTCCTTACTCAAAACCCATCCCAGACGTCTTCCCTACCCACTCTCTTCAGGACTTTTCAGTTTCTAAAAAGAATAGTCACATACCGAACTTGTTTTAAATGGAAAAGGAAAGGAGTAGTCGACACTCAAGAAAATATAATTTAATTAATTGTAATAAATAAATAAAGTGGTGTAAAAATGATTGCTTATGTTTATGGTATGCATTGGGCTCCGTCCCTCTCCACAGAGGAAAAGGAAGAAGAGTTTGTTACTGGATGCTGACTTGCCAGGCTGACCTACTTGACCTTATGTGCAGTAAAAAAAATCAGACCCTTTATTTCAATGTTTGCCTAAAATGACATACCCAAATCTAACTGCCTGTAGCTCAGGACCTGAAGCAAGGATATGCATATTCTTGATACAATTTGAAAGGAAACACTTTGAAGTTTGTGGAAATGTGAAATTAATGTAGGATAATATAACACATTAGATCTGGTAAAAGATAATACAAACTAAAAAAACATGCGTTTTCTAATTTCTTATTTTTTTTTCATGATCTTTGAAATGCAAGAGAAAGGCCACAATATAATATTGCAGTTTAGGTGCACTTTAGCAGTGTGTGTGCAAAGTTTCAGGTTGATCCAGTGAAGCATTTCATTACTGGACTATTTTGTATCAAGTCTGCCCAAATGTGCCTAATTGGTCAATTGATACATTTTCAAGTACATAACTATAGAGAACATACAAAAATGATATGGTAATACAAATTGTAAGTTTACACACTCCCAGGAATGTCATACGTGATGGATCATTAGCTTATACACTAACTTTCACACATCTAGATGGCCGGGCGGGGTGGGTGTGGAGCGAGAGACAGCAGGGGTTCAAACTGTAGAACCCAGTTCTTACATATATAAAATTTGATTTGATCAAACAAGAATATGCTACATTTTATCTCTGGGACACTGAGGATGACAAATCCGAGCAAGATTACTGAATATAAGTGCATTATTACATTTACATTTTAGTCATTTAGCAGACGCTCTTATCTAGAGCGACTTACAGGAGCAATTAGGGTTAAGTGCCTTGCTCAAGGGCACATCGACAGATTTTTCACTGGGTCGGGGATTAGAACCAGCAGCCTTTCGGTTACTGGCACAACGCTCTTAACCACTAAGCTACCCACAATGTAAGCTTTCTGCCCATATAAGACGTCTATGTCCTGGAAAGTTCACATTAGCACACGTTAGCTCAACCGTCCTGTATACGGGACACCGATCCTGTAGAGGTTAACTGGCAGAATAGGATAAAGGTACACAGTGATTCGGAAAGTATTCAAACCCCTTCACTTTTTCCAATTTTTTGTTACGTTACAGCCTTATTCTGAAATGGATTTAAAAATACAAAATACTCAGCAATTTACACACAATACCACTTAAATGACTAAATGGAAAACAGGTTTTTAGACATTTATGCAAATGTGTTAAATTAAAAACAATACCTTATTTACATAAGTATTCAGACCCTTTCCTATGAGACTCAATTGAGCTCAGGTGCATCCTGTTTCCGTTGATCATCCTTGAGATGTTTCTACAACTTGATTGGAGTTCACCTGTTGTAAATTCAATTGATTGGACATGATTTGGAAAGGCACACACCTGTCTACATTTTAGTCATTTAGCAGACGCTCTTATCCAGAGCGACTTACAGGAGCAATTAGGGTTAAGTGCCTTGCTTAAGGGCACATCGACAGATTTTTCACCTAGTCGGCTCGGGGATTAGAACCAGCGACCTTTCGGTTGCTGGCACAACGCTCTTACCCACTAAGCTACCTGCCGCCCGTCTATATAAGGTCCCACAGTTGACAGTGCATGTCAGAGCAAAAACCAAGCCATGACGTCGAAGGAATTGTCTGTAGAGCTTCGAGACAGGATTGTGTCGAGGCACAGATCTGGGGAAGGGTACCAGAAAATTTCTGCAGCATTGAAGGTCCCCACGAACACAGTGGCCTCCATCATTCTTAAAAGGAATAAGTTTGGAACCACCAAGACTTTTCATAGATCAGGCTTCCCGGCCAAACTGAGCAATATGGGGAGAAGGGCCTTGGTCTGATGGTCACTCTGACAGAGCTCTAGAGTTCCTCTGTGGATATCCAGAAGGACAACCATCTCTGCAGCACTCCACCAATCAGGCCTTTATGGTAGTGGCCAGACAGCAGCCCACTTGGAGTTTGCCAAAAGGCACCTAAAGACTCTCAGACCATGAGAAACAAGATTCTCTGGTCTGATGAATCCAAGATTGAACTCTGGCCTGAATGCCAAGTGTCATGTCCGGAGGAAACCTGGCACCATCCCAACGGTGAAGCATGGTGGCGGCGGCATCATGCTGTGGGGATGTTTTTCAGCGGCAGGGACTGGGAGACTAGTCAGGATCAAGGGAAAGATGAATGGAGTAAAGTACAGAGAGATCCTTGATGAAAACCTGCTCAGGACCTCAGACTGGGCCGAGGGTTCACCTTCCAACAGAACAACGACCCTAATCACACAGCCAAGACAACACAGGAGTGGCTTCGCGACAAGTCTCTGAATGTCCTTGAGTGGCCCAGCCAGACCCCGGACTTGAACACAGATCGAACATCTCTGGAGAGACCTGAAAATAGCTGTGCAGCAACTCTCCCCATCCAACCTGACAGAGCTTGAGAGGATCTGCAGAGAAGAATGGGAGAAACTCCCCAAATACAGGTGTGCCAATCTTGTAGCGTCATACCCAAGAAGACTGGAGGCTGTAATCGCTGCCAAAGGTGCTTCAACAAAGTACTGAGTAAAGGGTCTGAATACTTATGTAAATGTGATATATACGTTTTTATTTTGCAAACATTTCTAAAAACCTGTTTTTGCTTTGTCATTATAGGGTAGATTGATTATTTTTTTTTGTTGTAAATACATTTTAGAATAAGGCTGTAATGTAACAAAATGTGGAAAAAATCAAGGGGTCTGAATACTTTCTGAATATTCTCACAGAGTACGCTGATTGGGCCAGCCAACAATAACGATGACATGGTTCTCAATGGGTGTGCTCGTTATGCACAGCTAGCGGACGGTGAACTACAAAAGCGGCGAAGGAGGAGTTTGCCATTCTATCCGAGTACTGTAGAGACAGGGGTCTGCGAATGTCATCACTAAGTAAATCACGACAGATGAGGAGAAATTCAGACAGATCAAAAAAGGAAGAATCGTTTTTCAGATGGCACCGCGACATTTCCATTTTCCTCTTGTTTGTTAATCAATGATCAGAAGTTCTCCTCCACTTGCATTTTGTTGTTTTGTTTTTGACTCCACCCCTCATAGCTAGCCTCGTCTGTTTGGAGTGGGGCATTCGCCACCAGGCTCCTAAATTGCAAATCTACTGCCAATTCTGCCCACCCAGGCAATAACTAGGCTTCCCCCGCAAAACAAGCGTCCCCAATGAAAATCTACCATTCCACTGGAGAAATTTGAAGTCAAAGGATGATACTACAAGTGTAGGATAGCTAACTTTAGCTAGCAAGCAATGCTACTGATCTATTGAGATGTATTGGGAAGGTGTTTCGTGGCAGTTTTTTCAGAAGTAGCTTGGTATTTCTTATTCATAAAGGGGTTTTGATTTCTGAGGTTAGATGCATAGGCTTTGGGGAGAATACTTTTTAATCACTTTGGGGGAAAGCCCCATATTGACTGTCCATGAGGAATTACAATGAATTATTCAGTATTTTCTTCACAGTGTAGTGGCAAACTTAACTTGCGATCATGATTGAGCCTTTTTAAACTGAACTGTTTTATATAATAAATTGCCTGACAATGTTATTTGAGCTTTTTATTATACCAGAGTTGATATGGTGAGACAAGGTTTTCAGATAACTCCATTCTAATTCCCGATAATCAAATAAATTAATATTTCTCCCATATTTGGATACGTTTCCATGTACCTCATCAAAGCTGTGAAGTTGCTTGCACATCACTTATTCAACAGGGAACTTTAGGTGGGTCTTAATCCTGACAGAATTTGGCAGCCAACGGCAACAATGCCTCCCCACAGACTCACTAAACCAAACTAAATCTCGTCACCATTATCCCGAATCACAGTGCAGATGTTTCAATTTCTCAACACTGAGTGACGCAATAATGACAACAATTAAAAGCCATCAAGTTAAGCACATATTTTCTCCAGCTGTTGCAGTGATTCACACATTCTATGAAAATATCAACATTTGGCAAAATGTTTGAGCCACTCAAGACAGGATGTAAGGATTCCTCTGAGATTACATTTTCTAATTTTGAAGTAATGGATCAATTGTGCCTGTGCATAACAGTACATACACTACCGGTCAAAAGTTTTAGAACACCTACTCATTCAAGGGTTTTTCTTTATTTGTACTATTTCCTACATTGTAGAATAATAGTGAAGACATCAAAATTATGAAATAACACATACAATCATATAGTAACCAAAAAAGTGTTAAACAAATCAAAATATATTTGAGATTCTTCAAATAGCCACACTTTGCCTTGATGACAGCTTTGCACAGGTCTCTCCAGAGATGTTAGATCGTGTTCAAGTCCGGGCTCTGGCTGGGCCACTCACGGACATTGAGACTTGTCCCGAAGCCACTCCTGCATTGTCTTGGCTGTGTGCCTAGGGTCGTTGTCCTGTTGGAAGATGAACCTTCGCCCCAGTATGAGGTCCTGAGCGCTCTGGAGCAGTTTTCATCAATGATCTCTCTGCTCCGTTCATCTTTCCCTCGATCCTGACTAGTCTCACAGTCCCTGCTGCTGAAAAACATCCCCACAGCATGATGCTGCCACCATCATGCTCCACTGTAGGGATGGTGCCAGGTTTCCTCCAGATGTGACATTTGGCATTCAGGTCA